GGAACTTACATTATTCACTGAAACGTCAAAGCAGCACAGATGAAAAGAATGAGTGTTAGTCAAACCAGAGGGTTGCATCGGCTAAACCTCACATTTACAGCACTAATATTGTTAATAACTCGCAGTCTAACATGTTACAGGACGAGTTTCGTTTTAAAATTTCCACTGCTGGCCTGAAAAAAGAGGTTTCGAATGATGAGAAAAAATAAATTTTTTTTTAAAGCCCCCCTCCACTCATCTGTTCCTCTTCTTGTTCCTACAGTGTGATGTTTAAATGATGTCTGTGCAGAGTTTGACACTAGAAGGATGTTTTCACATTCATCTGATGAAAGTGGAAAGTTTCTCTGAGCTCATTGAAAATCAGATTTTAAAGGGGAGGGGCCTACAGGGATGATTTGTGACATCACAAATAATTTCGAAGTAAATCCCGGTCCAGCATGTAATTTAAAACTTGAAGCTGCCACAGACACCATATGTGTTAATACATGTCTGAAGAGGATCTAAATACAAGTGAATAATATAAGCACTAATCACCAACTCATCTTTGTGGCAAGTGGAGCAGGAAAATAATAACACCACTCCCCACAGATATAATCCATATCTCTGCAGCTACATACATATGCATTCATATTACACGGCTTTGTGTGTCTCGGCGTCATGCTTATGAAACATGATCAGAGCTGCGGGGCACAGCGAAGACTGTCGGTCCAGCGTAGCATGAAGGCGATACCGAGGAGAATGAAACGCAATGAATAAATGATGAGACCCAGAAAAGAAAAAAGAAAAAAAGAGCATTCGCGGGGCTGGAGAGAGTCGGAGCGTAGAGTCTGATGTGCCGACAATGTACCTGTGAGGACAATGTGGGAACACAAGGTTTTCTCCCTTGGAGCGGGAACAGGCCATAACAGAAAGGAAGCAGTGGGCATAAAGGTGTATTTATGTGAATTTAAGTAGCCAGTTGTGTGTCTGAAATCATTGGGCTCATGGTTAGGTGGTGAATGGTTTGTATTCTTCTACATCCTGAAAAGAATCCGCTCTCTCTTTGTGTTCCTAGGCCGGAACAGCGCTCAGGGCCAAGGTGGACCTGTGTGTAAACTGCAGTTAACGTAGACACTGATAAATAAGCTGGAACCAGAGTTATGTGGTTTTGTTACACATAATAACTGAATATTAAAATCATCCATCTTTGCTCACTACATCCATCACTGTGTCTGAACGCCATTAGAAGCAGGTATTTATTAACCAATATTGTGCTGTTTTTTTATTAGTTTCAGTGTTTTATTCTGAATAAAATATGGGGGCATTTGTCAGGGACATGATTTAAAGATATAATATGTAACATTTCTGCATTAAAAAGTCTAAAAACGTTGTTTCCAGCAAAGCTGTCATTTTATTCAGGTAACGCTGCGATTCACAGGTCACCTGCCAATGCCGTCATATCCCTTTTGTGCATGGGTCAGCGTTGTCTGACAGAAACTGCCATACATTTTTATCCAGTTTTACACTTTTCAGATCTCGGTGGTTTTTAAACGGATAAAAAAGGATTTCAGTCAGTACGTCTGGATCTTAAGTTATCAGAGAAACAAGCTGAGCTGTTAGCCGCACCTCAGCTCGCAGGCCCTCCGGCACGTCCTTTGTCTGTCAAACAGTGTCAAAGAAACATTGATTTTTAAGATGAAACCGCTTTATTCAGTGTCTTTACGGTTTCCTTTTATACAATAGTACACAATATCGTTTCATTTAATTAAAAAAATAATAAATCACAAGGAAATTTTTGTTTTTTGTCATACATAAAAGGTTTATATTGCCAGTTGTAACTTTAAAGTTTTTGTTGTGAAAATATCCATCCTTCTGGCTCATCTATATCCTTTAGAAGTGTGTGTGTGTGTGTGTGTGTGTGTGTACGGCCCACGCCTCCTGCAGCTATGCTATATTTGCCTTTACAGAACTCTCCCCTTTTTTTTTTACAGTAATGGTGGTAGTCCAAGGTGCGTGTCCAAACACATCTTTTACATTCTCTCACACAAATGTGTGCACACAGTAAGGCACCCAGTGGGTGAGAACACAACAAACAGCCCAACAACAAAGTGATAATGTCATCATCATTAAAGAGAAGGGATGTGCACACACACCCATGCTCATGTATAAGTGTAATAAAATGTGCAGCTCTCACATGGTGTCTGTCTCTGCCTGGATGACTCTATGAATTGTCCACTAAAGTCACAACAAGCATCTGTTAATGCGGGTTGTTTTACTGGGTAGAAATTGCATTTTCTAGGTGTAATAACAGAGCAGAACTGAGATAATCCAGGTGCTGTAAACTCTGCCTGGCATGTGCCAATTTGCCTCCCAGAAAGAGGTCCAAACCTGATCCTAAGGGGGGTGTGGGGGTCCTGCAAAAAGGCTCCATAAAGTCCCTGTAGCCAAGTGTTTTAGTAAGTTCACGGTTATCTCATTAACTCTGGAGTTTGTTGTCTGATTTGAGATGTCACCACTGGTTTCCACTTATCTCTTATCTAAGTTGTTTACGAAATCACACCCAACAGCACATCTTATCAAGCGGGAGGAGGAGGATTTGGGACTGTATTTTAATGCATGTTTATCTGGTGGAGGACGGGGGGGAGAGGGTGAACATATTTGGGATCCCCTTTCTGCCCTACGTGGCCAACCATTTGGCCTACATTTTAACACTGCTGATTCAGACTTTTAAAAAGGCGTTTTCTTCTACTTCCAGAGCGTCTAGACGTTTTGGGAACAATAAACAGCATAACAAAACTCTCCTGGTGATGTTTTTTCTTGCAGGAAAACTCACCCTTGATCCTGCGCTACATGCCGTTTTCTGCGCCCCGCTGGAGAAACTCCTCTTTACTCGACGGCGCTGAACCTCACAGCAAATTGATAATCCTCGTTTGTTTGTTTTTTCCTGTTTGTTTGTTTTTTTCTAAACTTTTAAAATAAGTTTAAGTCCCCATGTGGAAAACAAAATCTCGAGAGGCTATTGATCAGTCATAAGAGCGCAACTTTCAGAGCAAAAAGTCGCAGAGGCAAGTCGCAAAACTCAGTCCTGTAGCTTCTTCAACTCCCAAGTTTTTCTTTTTTTTGTTTGTTTGTTTGTTTTCAGAGCATCAAAAACATTCACAAAAAAGTTCTCCAACTTGGCCGCGGACAATAACGACGTGGTCTTCTTCTCTCGCAGGGACTCTCGGTATGTTTATAGTAGTGGTCCCTCTACTCCAATGGAGGCGTTTAGGACATAGGGAGAGGAGCATGCTGCATTCAAAAGCTGCAAAAAATATTGGAATCACGAGTTTTATGATGAACTTCCCAACGAGCAAGTGTAAAGCAGTGGTTATGAATGGGCGCTATACAAATAAAATTGAATTGAATTGAATTGAATTGAATTGAATTGAATTGAATTGAATTGGTTCGGGGGCCTTATAAAGGGTGGGAGGAGAAATCCAAAGGGTCACGAGAGGATTAAAAGGATAGTATAGCAAAAACAATTCTTACTTTTTTGCAATCTGTGCATTGTTCTTGTGAATTACTGCATCATTTTAACTCTTAAGTTATTAAACTTAAACCAGGGGGGAGGGGGAAATCATGTGAGAAGAGATTGCAAGAAGTCACAGTTTTGTTTTAGGAGCCAAAAAAGGTCAAAACCACTGGTGTTAAGATTGGCCGAGGAAAATGAAATTTGATATGTTTTGACAGCTGATTGTGAAAGTCACGATTACACAACTTCTTCCTTAAAGGACCAGTGTGTTGAATTTAGTGGCATCTAGAGGCGAAGCTGCAGATTGCAACCATTTGAATACAGCTCAGCCTTCCAAGTGTGTGAAACTACAGTGGCCCCCGGGAACCTGCGAAAAATATGAATCCCTATCGAGAGCCAGTGTTTGTCCATTCAAGGCTACTGTAGAAACATGGTGGTTCAACATGGTGGACTCCGTGAAGACGACCCACTCTCTCTGTAGATTTTGAGGTAACGACAAAATGATTCTTATTTTCAGATGATTATACACAAA